CTTAATCCCAACCTTGACACATGACGAATCCTTATTTCTATTTCAGAAAAGAATACAGGCTACGTATTGACGATTATCTTAGAGATGTTTTAGGCTCAGGTACCTCTATGCCACCACATCTACTATAAAAATCACTCGAGCCAACATGTATCATAAAATACTGTGATCAAAGGCAGATATTATGAGGACAGAGAACAATGTTATAAAACTTACACATCATCTATATTTTCTTAAGACCTTACTAAGTAGTTTTTTGTTATTCCTTTTATATGTGACATCTCAGAATGATAAAGAATCAAAATAGTGGTGTATTCTCTGCTCGCACTGTTAATATGTGGTTCTGTGTAGTAAATGAACTGTCTGCTCTTTGTTCCTGGTATCCAGATAGTAACCCCCTACCCTTGGACTGTTCTGACAGGACCGTCTTTGTTATTCCAGGTGGGCTCCTTAGACCACACCGGAGTTTATGGTAGCTCTGCTTATGATCATGTGTATCAAAAAGTAGGGTGGTGGCTGTGCATGTGGGAAGGACAGCCATGCGCTTAGCGGCTTGGGGTTTTGAGCCAGATGATGTCAGCCTGACCTCCCAACCTCTGTGGGGTAAGGAGCTGAAGACCGAATCGAATCTTGTAGCCAGGGACTGAATGCATCGTGCCTCCATAATGAAAACCCAGTGGGAAGTCTGGAGAGCAGAGCTCAGGAGAGCTTCCAGGTTGGTGATACACACTGGTGTGCCTGGAAAGTGACATGTCCTGAGGACACGGAAGGCTCATGTTTGAGACCCTCCCAGATGCCGCTCTATGAGTCACTTCATCTGGCTGTTCCTGATATGATTACTTTAAAATACACTTTATTTATTAGCAGATTGCTTTCTCATGTCCTGTGAGCTATGTAAGAGAATGATTCAAACTAAGATAAACCCCTGAGTGTTTAGCCAGTCGGTCAAAGGGCGGGTGGTCCAAGGGCACTGAGCATGGGACTGGGGTCTCAGGGGAGTTGGAAAACCATGCCTTCGACCCATGCAGTTCGTGCCAACTCCTGGTGGTCGTGCTCAGAATTGCATTGCAATGGTATTTATGCCAAATAGGTTTTAAATGATGGAGATTAAGGAAGGCACCTGTGATGAGCACTGGGTGTTATACCGAAGTGCGATATTGAATCAAATGCTATATTGAATGGCTATATTGTACACCTGAAACTAACATCACACTCCATGTGAGCTAACTGGAATTGAAATAGAAACCTGGAAAAAAAATTGAAAGGTGTAGCCAACATCTACACATTTAGCTAGCGACACTGTTTACTATTAAAAGTAAACCCGATTTTTAGTTAGAAATGCATCTTGACGTCTACATCCATTGACCTAATAGGTTTAAATTTGTACACGTGAAATATCAGAAAAAAAAAAGGTTCTGTTCTGACTAATTCCAAAAACTAAAATAAGAAAGAGAAGATTGGTATTGTTCTTCTTTGCCACATACGTAGGCAATATGTTTACTTCTTTTAATATTATCGTTTTTGCTATCATTTAGGAAGCCATTCCTGCTAACCTTGGTCAATCAACCATACAACTGCCTTGCTGTATACAAAGAACATGTACACACGTTGTATGTAAATGTGTTCAGCAACACACTCGTGCCTCAGACAATTAGGTGGAAAAATTCGTTCAAGGTTAAACCCTTCTTTTTGAGAAATCAACCTATTCCTAATATTAACTAAGAAATACAACATCACACATCTGAAGCTAAGTTCACACACAGGGGACAGTAGTTATTCCAGAGAAGGCTTAATCCAGGCTGATGTACATTAGTTGATACATAAAAAATAGATTTGAATGACGAAATTTGAACTTCAGATAAAAAATCGCAAAAGATATACCTTGGAAGCAAGTTTTACTCAAGAAAACCGTAAGGAAGAGAAAGTATGTTTACCGTTTTGTTCTCCATTTATTGAACAAATTCCATGTATAAGTGGACCCCTGTGGTTCAAACCCATGTTGTTCAAGGGTTCACTGTATAATAGACAGACACACTAAACCACAGGGTTTCACTGCCTGAAGCATTTCTTCTCTCTTGGATTTATCTGCCCATGTTTTACTCATCTGTTAAGATGTTATAATTTTCCCCAGATATTTTATGCCATCCATTAAGATATTTCTTCGTTTGTTCCCCCAAATCCTAGGCAAATGCAACTTTTGACCTCCTTCGCCACCCAACGCCTGCCTGTGGTATTACATCTTCGCCAAAAGTTACAGGTATTACTAGGTTACATTATATTTATATATGATGAAAACGTATATGATTATGATTATGAACATTTGATGAAAACGTATATGATTATGATTATGAACATTATTACGTTTTGCCGTCTGCATACGGATGTGCAAGTGTGTTGTTTTTAGTGACAGACTTTTTTATTCCCAACAACAAACTTGGTGCCTGATATCTGCATCATACTGACACACAGGAGGCGGTGTAAAAAGTCGCAGGCCCAGCTGAACTGCGACAAGCGCTATGTGGTGGGGGCAGGACGTGAACCTTTCCAGGGGAGACAGCACAGCAGATGAAGCGTGCAGGTCTGGAAGGGGCAGTCGCACATAAACGTCCCCAAAGATACACCATGCAAAGACAGACCAACACAGGTGGCGTGTGAGGAGTGATACCTTCTACCGGCATCGTCTCACACTAAACTTTAAATGGCCCCGTAAAAAGATGCTTTCATCTGCTGACAGCCAGAGACAACTCTGGAGTAATTTAAGAAGTGCGTGGTAAGATCACAGCTGTGGCGCGCACCGCAAACAGCCTGCCCGTCACCCACTTTTCTTTCGGCGCCTGCTGAGCGACAGGACGGAGGTATCTCCCGATGCGGCTGAGATAAGCAGGAGACGTCGTTCGGGCCAGTGCCACACAAGGAGCAGTCTGTGGGGCCGGTCGCACTCTTAGAAAAGCTCTTAGTTTTCTGTGCAATCCTGGTTAATTCTGAAACGTGGAGATCTTTGCTCCTCAGTTGTAAGACAAGGGCAAGGACAGCACTTCGCGCAGAGTGCGATTTTTAGGACTCTGTTAGCCTGGCCCTACCAGGGCTCAGTAAAGGTCATGATGATGATGATGGCGACAGGGAAGACGGTGATCTTGATAACAGCTACTGTCAAGATTTTTAAAAATTGTTTAAGGTTTATTTACTTTGAGAGAGAGAGAGACAGACAGAGACAGAGAAGAGAGGGAGAGAG